TTTTGCTATATCTCTTATTCTCTTGTAGTATTCGAGGAAACATCCTTTTCGGAATGGCTTCCAGAAAGAAGCGGTTAGTGTGAAGAAGCTGTTGCTAATGGAATTCGAAGCGTGTTTCGCTTAAATGCGTATGGTATGGCGGGTGTGGGCTGTAAAGTCTAGAGTTAACCGTTGTTTTCCCTACACATTTTTACATCTTACAATTTAACCCTCGACTTCGGGCGATTCTTAAGCCTTTGCAGAATGAACATTATTGTAAAAAATAAACGAATCGACAGAAATGTCTACAGAGAGACATAACTCGATCAATCTATTAGGCAGGTATTGCACGTTTCTGTCAAACAATTATTTGCATTAACATTTTTAAGCAAACTGTAAACAAAACTGTCATATTTTAACCATTAATATTTAATACTGTTTTAATTTCGCGTTGATTTTTCTTGCAACTTTTTCTCAGACTATCGATCGACGTCAATGAGCCTTTCATTGCGATTCGAAATTAGGTTAAGTTTACCTCAGTGAAGCATAGTTGAACAACGCATCAGCTACTTTACTATTAAGCCACGCGAACATTATTTTATTCAATCGAGCTATCTCGGACATTCACGAGTCTCTCACCACCAATCTTCACGTTCCTGCATCAAGGTTGGAATGTACTTAGGGTGATATTCTTAGACAAAGCAAGAGGTTACCAGTTCATCTTTCGCCAAGGTTAGTTTCGCAGAGTAGTAGATTATTCGCATATTCTTGTTTTGCTTGTCAGCAGTGTCCTGCAAAGCACATTCTGCATTCGCTTAAGATTGTAGAAATATCAGGGGTGGGTCTAAGAACGGTGATTTAATTAGATGCTGTCTCCAAGAGATGTTAAGTATAGATCCTAGCATCCGAGTATAGGTTCCATCAAACTTAGACTGAATGGTTTTGGTTAATGTCCAAGCAATGGCACCATACATTAAAACCGCCTCTACAATGTTTCAACAGAATCTTATCGTTGCCATCTATATATCTGTTTTATACACTAGTAGTATTAGTTGCAGCAACAGTAAGTTTAGGAAATTCTCTCATTTCCGTGCAGATTTTAGAAAACCATTTTTTCTTAATGGGTCTTTTTAGTCCTTACATCTAAGGAAAACCTGTCTCGGTGATTAGGCGCCACACTTAGGCATGATGTTTGTGACATGTTTATGTCTATGAATTACCACTTCATTGGTTTCGAGTTAGGTGATTGTTAATCAGTATTTTTTCTCAAATGCAAACAGATATATTTTCTCTTTCTCTCTTGAATTGGTTGTTTCTTCAATAAGGGTACTGGAAATAAACGTTTTTGTTTCTGGGCTAACATTATTCACCTGATAATACACGGATCCGAACTTTAGAGTAATACTTAAAGAGTCTATTCTATCAGCCGGTGTATAATATTGGGGCTACAATACTGTTATTTTTTAATGATGCTGTAGTTTCCGTCGGGGGTCTCTCGATACCATAATGAAGTGTACGGTTGCGCTTATAATAGCTGATAAAATGTAGATAGTAAAGTATATATTAACTATTGGTGCAATGGATAGCGACTTGAAACTTGAAACCGGAGAGCCGATTTCGAATTATAGTAGTGTTCATGCTATGCACTTATGAATCCATCAATTCTCTGCCGGCTTAAATATCAGGGCAAACTGGGCTCTTTAACCAATCTAGGAGGAGTATAACTCTGAATTCAAACTCAGCAGGAAACTACGTCATTCGTATGAATGGTAATTCACACGAAGCAAATTGAATGAATCTCTGGCGATCCAAGATAGCTTACGTGCTAAAGGGACAAGGTATTTTCTTTGAAAAATCAGTACCGTTTCGGCAAGAGCCTACAATTTTATTCTGTAAAACCTACTACCTCGTATGGGAACCACAGTGCTGAGAGAGCTGTCGACTAGCATAATGAGAGCTACCGTGATTTCACTGATTTAAATCATCTTTCATCCTTACTGAACTATGTCAATACCTAAAACGAACAGAAATTTCAAACCCACTTCTACCAAAGCTGATTCTTATTTTCCAAATCTTATATCAATATAAAGATTCAACATACCAATTAATCCTGGGTATAACGATAAACTACATCCGGCAGCAAGGCCCTTGACCGGGAGATTGAAGTTTTTGAGGACCGTGGAATCACCTCTTAATTGCTATTGTCCACATGTCTACCCTGACAGAGTGGTAGCACCTGTTAGGCTCCCAGCTGTGGGCAGATATTGAACCCATAAACAAAAACAAAACACTATGAAAGTATAAAAGTACATTTTTATAGTAAAGATACCAGCAATACCTATTTATATAAAAAATAGAAGCAATACATTTTATATAAAAAAAAAATAAAAAAAATACCTATTTATAGTAAAATTAGCAATAATAACTATTTATTGTAACATGACAAGCAATACATTTATCTGTAGTTGAAGGCATACAATCATATTCAAAATATATTTAGTTGAGACTATAAAACTCTTCAAATTATTTAGATTTCTGCATTAAATAACCCGTGAAGATTGATATGCTGCTTGACAAAATCAACTAATTTACCAATTCTCCTGAAGTTGAACCGCATTTTCAAGATGTCAGAAATGTTTCTTGCCTTCATGTTTCTTGCAGAAACTAGTTTCAATTTATCTCTATTATCGTTATTCATTTGATTACTGTTTACTTTTATTTTCAGTTTTCCTTGATTTTTATCGCATGTCAGACCGAAGTAAAAATCGTAATAAAAAGGTAAGGAAGAATTAAGATGAAAGTAAATACAAGTAAAACATTTATGACAATGTTCGTCAGTGCTTCATATAATAATAATAATAAAAATAAAACATAATAGTGCTCTTTTTATTTTTCATTATAGATATGGTGTGTAGTATTGTTGTATTTGACAGTAATACGCTAGATTTTATCGATTATAAAATTGATATTCTGTTAATGGTTTCCTAAAATGCGTCTCACAATAAAAAAGTGATTGATTTTTTAGCAAGATGATTCACTCAGAATGTATCGTACTTACTGCTTTTAAAAGAGCCTGACACAGTATTGATAATGTCTTGTATTCTTCTCGTTTGTTTAAAATTAAAATCGCCTTTCTTAATGTTTCTGTGAGAAGTCAGTTTAAAACCTATTGATTATTCGTTGATATGATAGTACTCGCAAAAAATATTGAGTTTAAAAGTTCCACTAAGACACCTTATTTTCTCAAGAACTGCCATTTTGCAGAATAAACTCCTGAATGGATATTTCCCAAAGTATTTTAATCGTCACCTCTTCCAATCAAGGTTCAATCACTTTCAATCCTCCTTATCTTTATAATCGCTGTTTCCTCTCATATTCTTTTCCATTCATACTACGCACTTCATTCGTCATTAACATTTCGAATATAAACGTGTACATGGAGTGGCTCTCAAGCCTTGCATTGGTTGAAATTTATTAAAAAAACAAAAGAGTTAATTTGTTGAATCAGCTTTTGTTCTAATTATTTATCAGTGTTTCATTTTTTTAATACCATGTCACTTCGAGATGTAACAGGCCTAAATATATTTTCTTAATTATTTGCAGATTTTCATCAATTGTTCGAAAATAATTAAATTTGTGTTTTCCAGGTCTTTTTTCCACTGTTTAAAATTCTGTGTTTTACTTGCTATCCACGTCTACTCTACTAATTAACCCGTAGCCAGGGGGAGTGCTGTATTCATATCTTTCGCAGATGCGTCTTTGCAAAAGTGAACGTAACAGCATCGGCCGGAGTCTGAAGTCAACTTTTCAATCCAACTTTCCGTGCTGGTGACCGCTAACGCTAAACGCACATTCTCATAGTTTCTTAAAATTAAAATCCGTGTTATTTAATGGGCTAAATCTTTTGTGACTGCTTAGCTTTGTGGTTCTTGAGCCTTGTACAGGGTGATCACCATTCTTTAAAATAACTATATGTGCTACAACCAGTGGTGGCATCGCACCGGTTCGCTCGAACCTATCCTTAAAATTATAAAAGCTTAAAGAACCGGTAGTTGGATTATCCGAAAATAATCTTATATATTAATAGCTGATAGTAAAATATTAGTTACGCTCGGCTGGTGCGCATGTCTAGTGAAAGTCTAATAGATACACGCCCCCTACCACAAAAATAAACAGCAGTCAACTGGGAAGAACAAAAGTAAAAGTAGGTAGATAAAGGTAACAGTGTAGAAAAGAAATAGTCAGAAATCTTTGGGCCTGCCGTGATTCAATTCGAATGTGTCTAAGAAAACATAACACAGTTTGATGACACTAGAATCAAAAAGCATCATACTTCTGGACAGAAATATGATGAGAACGGAATTTCAATCTGGAAATATCTTAATAAATAAATGTTTTCTAGTAAAGTATCAAAATAGTTTAATTCTTTTGGTTACTATATAGTGTTTTGTTCCAATTGAAAAGATAATAAGCAAATTAGGGTCTTAAAGATTACCTGCCTTTATAGAATCGGTTCCTGAATATTGGCTACAACCTATCCTTTCGCCGGTTGTCACTTTTCAGATACCGTTTGAAGAACTAACAAATCGAAAACTGAAGGATCAAAGCTATCCTTGTAGGCCGAGTCGTTTCTGTGAATGGTTGAAATTTGACGACAACGACTTCAACAAAGATTAGAATTTTTCAATTCAGCGTCGACGAGCAAAATTCAGTTCAAAGTCATAATTGAATGGCTTCAAAAGACGTGAATATTGTCGATAAAATTAAACATCTTCTGGTCATTTTTCGATGCTAAATGAATTTCTAAAATCAACCCTCGTAACTGTCTGTTTTTGGATTCGCCTGATAAATCAGCTTATTTCTTTATATTTGGCTACTTGCGTCTCTCACTGGGAACAAACCTGATGCTATGTCAATATTAATTATTGTTTATCATGAGTCGTTTAGAAGATATTTTATCCCACAATTGCCTCATTTTTTTAACAACTATGCATTATGCATACAATGACAACGGCTTACCGTCATTTCAAGTTGAAACACCTGTTCTCGTACGATCCAGGAAGTTAAGCAATATCGAGACTGGTCAATATCTAGATGGGTGACCGCTTGGGAATACCAGGTACTGTAATCTTTGATGTGCGAGTGGTGTAATGGATAACGACTCGAAATTGGAAATCGAGTTTCAATTCCAGTCGTATTTGTTACATTCACTTACGCAGACTGGGAAAAAGGTATAATTTCGCCTCCCCCAACTTGTATCAGTCAATTATTAGTATCTGTCCAAACATTCTTACAATCTAAAAATATTTTCTGGCTTTAAATGACCTGGTAAATGATTGATAAGCCGTAAAAAAACAAATCAATCAATTAATCATTTAATACAATACCTTCATTGCTAAGAAATGTGTTTTCTTACGCCAAAAGAATTACTGAGATATAAGGGCGGATTTGATGAAAAAATATGTTTGTTTCGGATTCAAAATTATGCACACTTTGTATTTATTCCCTTAGAAAAGACATGTACCTATTTCATCTGTGCTTTTTCCCCTCCCCAAATATCTTAAAATATTTAGTGACTGAGATGATATAATGTTTGATGGTGAACAGTGCGAGTAAGCAAAAGGCTTTACCCGATAAGCATTTCCCGATATATCCAGGATGTATCAGCCGGATGCTTTTTCAGGCTGTAGGCAAGCTTAACAGCAGTTTAGGATAGTGTATTATATACATGAGGGACAAAAGACACTTTCTAATTCTATAGCCCATTTATTCCTTATTTTTTTCTAACTGCCGCCCCATTTGCTCCAAGTTCGCATAACAAGCGTGTCCCTTTCACGCACATACGAAGACACAGCAGTTTCGAAAAAAACTCCACTAATCTAACCCTGTAAACACACATATGCATTAGGCTTTTCTTAGATGCCATTTTGATGTCGCCAGACGAACGTCCATAGCTATATCGTTGCTTTTACAAACCTAGAGCTTTGTCCCTTGCAGATGTCGGCTGTCAAGATTCGTTTGGTGTGTGGCACTTCCTGTTCAAATAACATCAAAAGATTTAAATCAACATTTAAAATTTTAACTTATATTAATTTTATTCATTATTTCGCAAAAGTGTTCCTTAAGTGTAAGTGAATCAAATTTGGTCATATAGATTTATTGATCATCATTTTTTTTTTTTTTACTAGTTTTTAATTCATAGAACTTTGGTTACTTTTCTCTGACACAGAAGAATATATCTATTTTAATTAGTCTAAATTACGACTGCTCGGGTAGTTTTCGTAGCCTAAGAGATAAGGCGCACAAAGCCTCACCAGTGTAAGCGGGATGAGTTCAGATCTCACCAGGTTATACTTTACTCTCGACCTGTGCTGTTTATTGAACTATCGTCGTATGTAAAACAGTCAGAGAGTTGCTATAAAAAATAATAAAAATATGAATAGAAATACCTCGTCTCAAATTAATAATCAGAAAGAAAGACCTCTCTGTCGTTGGTCTCTTTCACTAACCTGTCAGCTACTTCTACATATTTGTATTTATAGACAGGAAGCAAAATAGCGTTAAGTTGATCGATATTTCTTGAAGAACAGCAAGTCAGAAAGCCGGAAATATTTCAGAGATAGCAAGCGGGTTATGTCTCGATTCCAACCACTGAATGGACAGAAGACGAAGAAAGAAACCAAAACAGGGTGTAAAGAGTTGTCGATAGGAGGAGACATTATCTGATCAGAGTATTTATCTGCAAATAAAAGGCCTACACAAACATATGCCACCCGTACACGCACACGCGCACATTCACGCATACACGGGGAGAAAACATGCAATGAAATCATACAAAAATAATATTATTGGGAAGAAAAAAAAATAAAGAATAGAATGAAGGGAGAAACGGTTTCTATTTCATATGGGAAAGATTGAAAAGAAAAGAAATTGCTTCGATATAATAAGCCAAAGATAAGGTTTGTCCTCTTTTCCTGTTCATCAGACAGATATCACTTCCTCTTTCACGCCTCTCTCTCTCTCTCTCTCTCTCTTATGTACCATGTCTCAAGCGACAAATAATCTTTACTTGATTTTTTTAAAATCTTATTTTCTTAAATCAAACTTAGTTCGTCATATGAATTCGCTTAATTTCTTTCTTTTCTTTCTCTTTTGACAGAAGTTTATTATTATTATTATTATTATTATTATTATTATTTCGTTTGTCGGCATTGTTCGCTTGATTTTCACTTCCATTCGTCTTTAATCAGGTGTCTTTCTCGAATGCATGTTAAGGGGAAATAAAGAGGTAGGTAGGGGAAAGAGTGCGTTGTGCAAAGAGGGTGCTTGTGTAATCAGACAGGAAGTACGAAGGGAGATAGGAAAGGGGAGATAGAAAAAAAAAGGATCGTGAAGCGCCAGTCAAGGAAAATAAAAGTAATATGAAGTGCAAGGGAAAATGTCGAAGAAAAAAAATGGTTTATAATTTCGGATCTCTTTTTTCTCTCTCACCTTTCTAGAGGATTTCAGAATTATTCCGAAATATTAAAAAAAGATAATATTTATGTTGCTTTGGTTTACAAGGAGTAGATTATTCATCAATATATATTTATTATGAACTGCTTTATTCGAATTTGTGTTGTCAAATTTTCAGTCGTTCGACACTCTTTCGTTGCCTACGGTATCGACAACTCTGAAGAATGCTGAAATAGATTCTGCGCATATGTTAGGCCATGATGACCTCCTCAGCCGGTCCAGAATAGAACTAGATACAAACAGGAAACTTTGATCAAGACAGAAAAAAAAATACCAGGTTTAAGTTTACCAAAATAGCAGAAATGTATTGTACTTGTAAAGTGAATGCAGTTTAGGAACTAGTTTAATCTAATACCTAGGTCAAGCAGTAAAATTCATATACAATGGAATTAGGAAAAGCAAAATGAATTAAGAATTAACTAATAATACATGATTATTCCCTCATATAAACAACGGAATTAAGGTAGATTTTGTTTTCTTTTTTTTTTTTTTTTTAGTAAAGGGCTTGGTTCAAAATTCCGAGATCCTTACCAAATACTACAGACACCAGAAAAAGGTTGGAAGGTTAAAATTATCTGTAGTGTATTTTAACGTTACTTGCATTATTTACATTACTCAGACTGTTAGCCTCATCTTCATTGCCATATTCACAACGTTGCGGTCGTTTTACGCTCCGGCCTTCTTCAGCTGATTTAACGTCTTATTCAAGTCACATTTTTTAAAATACCTTCTCACTGACTGCGTCGACTAATCGGGTCCCATAATACGTAGCACTGTGCGAATGGTGATTTTGTGTCCTTGCTATAGTTTCATTTTTATGCGACAAAAATGATGTCAAAACAAAAATTGTTCTAGTCCTCATAAAAGCAAAAAGCATAAAAAATAACAAACTTACTTGCAAGAGCTCATCGCACGTTCAAGACATTTCTAACAAGTTCGATCGCATACAGTCTGTGATTTAACAAAAGGAAGAAAATTGTGCCTGTGTACGAAACCATTAATACGGAAGAAAGTATCAAATTAACATTTTCTGTAGATTGGGATTTGTTTTCCGTCTTAAAAGAGAATTGAAATTATTAGTTAATAATATTAGTTAAAACTGGACGCATTGAAATCCGATTGGAAATTGAGATACGCAAAGCCCCACTTAGTAGTTGCAAAGAGTTATTCGAAGCGGCGGAAATTCAAAATATGCCTGAAACGTGATAATGTCGCATAGTGAAACATTTCGGATGAACACTAAATCAATAGTTCGCCATCCTTAAAAATAAACTCATCTTAATTAAGCATATCAGCTGAGCTATACAGAATATGAAACTGGATTTCCAGAAAGTGTTCTTCATGGACGAGAGTCAGTGATGCTGGATTGTCACAACTTTTTAAGAAAACAAACACTAAATGCTAATGGTGATTAGAAGAGAAACTTCATGCCTTTTTGTTAAGGCCAATGACCTCTTGAAATGACATTTTCTGTTTAATTTGAATCTCGAAAGACTAACCTTTAGGCATGATTTAAAAAGTCTACTGTGGCATAAAAATAAATTTTCATGACCGAAAATGCTCCAGCTCACGTGTCTCGTGCAAATAATGAATAATAGGAAAATTGCAGTTTAGCAGCATTAGATTTATGTTGTGGCTGCCATGTTCCTCGGATCCAAAATCCGGTGAGAACCTTTTTGTGTATTCCCAAAATGCATGTGGATTGGCGAAGAAATTGTGCCTGTTTACGAAACCATTAATACGGAAGAAAGTATCAAATTAACATTTTCTGTAGATTGGGATTTGTTTTACGTCTTAAAAGAGAATTGAAATTATTAGTTAATAATATTGCTTTTCTTTTTCGTTGCATCCCGCTTGACATAAACAGCTTTTGACAAATGTTTAACCTTCGTGTCCGACCCCCCCCAAAAAAAACCAATCAAATCAAAAACGGCGTGTCAAAGGCACAGTTTTCCCTTGACACCTCTATTATTGTAATGTTTATTGTTTTAAAAAGCGATGATTAGAATTTTAATAAAACCTAAGGATATGAAAATGTATTTGTACATTTTCTTTGTTCTTAAGAATTAAGAACAAAAATAATAAAAAATATTTATTAGATTGCTTAGTAAAACTATTTAGTTCTATTTAGAATATTTATTGGATTGCTTAGTAAAACATTGGCTAATTGCCAATCAATTCGAATTTTTAAAAATTGTAAATAATAAGGATTTAATTATGTTTTAATAATTTAAATTCATTAATTTAATAAATATTTATAAATTTATGAATAAAAATTGTTTTCATAATTGTTTCTTTATACATTGGTAAATGATAGATATTATATTGCATTAGTTTTAATTGTATTAGTTTTTAGAATGCTTTAAATATAAAATTGTTCTTGAAAATAAACAATCTAATATATATTTATTATGTTTAATATTTTTGTTGTAAATTCTCAAGAACAAAAAATGTATGAATTCACTTTCCTCTTGTATTTTGGTTTTATAACAATTCTAATCATCGTTTTTGTAATTAAAATTTCACTTTTTATCCTTACATGCTTTTTCACTATTATTCTTTGCAAAAAAGGTGATTATATGTAATGTGGAACGGTAAAAAAAAATTCTCATGT